TTTGTTACATATATGCCTTAAGAGAACAATCAAAAGATGAATTGTTAGAACATTGAAAGAATCTCCAGGCTATTTTAAATATTTTTGTTTATGGTGAAAGAAGCTTTCTAATTAAAATAATAAAAATTATCTGCGATCCACCATGACACAGGATAAATTATCTGGATTGGCTATGATTTCAATAGAACACAATGTTTGCGACAGTATAAATTTATCAGATGTATTAAAGATTTTGCAGAACAAAAGGTGCGAAGAAAATTACTATAATTTCGAGGTAGGATTAATATTCTCTGAAAACTTTTTTTTTGTCTTTTTTACGTACCGTATGAACCTTAACTTAAATTATAAATTAAACAGCTTGGTCCTATCTTTTAACTTCTGAAACGATTTTGATGAAAATGTTTATTGTTACTTTAGTTAAAGGGCAACAATAGCCCCAAACAGGGAACAATAGCACAAGGGAAAAGAGGCCCATACGCAGCAGTGAGTCGCAATAGGTTGATGATGATGATAAAGATGATGTCGATGAAAATATATCAATTTCTGTGAAATTCTTATAAAGACATGCATTGTATACTTACTAACATAAAAACACTCATCAACTTTCGTATAGGTACTTCTCAGAAGGCCCAATAGACTGACGTAAATATATGGTAGGTATAATCCCAACAATATCACCTATTTTAGGTAGGTACTTGTATACTTAGCATCCCCAGCAAAACTAGCTCATGACTTATAGCTTTGTGTATGTAGAAGGCAGCGAAAATGATATTTGCTAAATAGCTAGATCGGGCCCTGTATGTAAGATATCTTAGCAAAATTAACTGATTAATATTGATATACTATAGTTCAACGTATATTATTGGAGATACTATAGTTTAATGCCAAAATATGTGAATTTAGTCTACAAATTACCCCAACTCCCAATACTACATATATTGATTTCGTTGTTCTAAAAACCTTATGTAAATTGCTTGAAAATATGTTCTCAAGTATTCCTTAGCAATGTTAATATTAACTTAAACAGTTTGGTGATTTGGTGTCACCAAATAGTGAGCACCAGTGTATATGGCTGATTTTTTACCGAACTTTATGAGTTCTAGTATTGAAATTCGGGAGAACATTTTGTGATAAAAAATTGGTAACATCGGGTGAGTACTTCCTTAGCCCCATATACCTAATATAAAATTTTCGAACTTCCAGTTGACTTTATACCGCATCTATCGGTCAATATGTAAGAAATCTTAATGAAATTTGGAAATAATCTCCTTCTAATAACAGTGTACCTTTTGCCTGTGATTAAAAGCAATGGATGCAATACTGCCTAGGTTAGGTTAGGTTATATGGCTGATCTCTCGACATAGAAGAATCACACTTAGTCTGATTATATTCAGCTTTTTGTAAGCCAAACGAAAACATCCTGAACCTGTGACAAATCTGCTAAGGTGTTATGTTTATTTTCGCTACTTAACTTGGATGTCTAAGTGTAGTAAAATCCGAGGGTTTTTGTCTTGTTCTGAAAAGCGGTGTGATCAGGCACCCAAACCAGTCTAATCATAAGTAACTTGATGCTATAGATAAGGAGTCCAAACACCCCTCACTAGTATTGAGCGCACAGTCAGCAAGCTGAAGGCTATCGGAGTGGATAGTCACCACTCTAAAGGCGCTCCGAAGTAGCAGATCTTCTGCTACCTTAGTGGCAGCTACCTCCACTTGGAAGACGCTGCATGGTCAGGATCCTAAACTGGAGTTGATGAAAGTTCCGACAGTGTAATCCTCCGCCAACCCTTCCCGCAAGCTTTGATCCATCCATAAAAAGCTCACTGCCACTCTCTTCAGCGAGTCCTCCTTCCCATGCTCCCTCGAAGGTATGTGAGTAGAAAACAACAGCCAGGGCTAGGTTCAGCGACCTGGTAATCCAAGTACTTCGGAATGAAATCAAAGTGTACGAGAATTTCAGCGTCCAGCCTCGTAGCCATCAAAGTACCCAGATTCTCTGAGTCTGAATACAATGTAGCGGCCATACACCTCGCGGCTATGTCCAAGGGTGCTATATGCAGCAAGGAGTTTAGTGCCATGGTTGGGGGTTCGTTGTGCATCACAGATACTAATGAGGGCAGCTCGTTGAATAATCGCCAAGTTTTCGCGAGTGTAGCTTTTCAAGCACCTTCCACCTTACAAAATTCCGTAGAACATTATGGGGTTTACTATTGTTTTATAGAGCCAAGAACTGCCTTTGGTAGGAGTCTCCATCTCTTGCCAATGGCTCCGTTATGCCGCGCACTGCCCCACTCGCCACGATAATTCTATTGTAGAGAAGTGGAAGATAAGATGCTTTAGTTCAATTCTACCCCAACCTATTCAAAGCTCTTCCGCAATACATTGTTAAAAGTTCCTCGATATCGAGGAAGGTTCCACTGCAAACTCTTGTTCTCATACTCCTCTCGAGCCAGGAGACAAGAAGTGTGACTGGAAGTCGATTTCTTGGGATACTACCCTTATGTAGATCAATCATCTCTCTAACGTTTTAAAAGAAAGAAGAGTGACTGATGGGTCTGAAATCGGCCGACACATGCCATCTGTTACCAACCTTCGGGATAAACGCAATCCTAACCTGCCTCCAAGCCCCAGGAATATAGCGCAGTTTAATGCAGTTCGAATGGATAGGAATCAGCTAGTTGCATGACAGCATGGCATCTCGCTGCAGTTGCTCTTGTATAATGACATCCGTGACAGGAGAAAGCAGTAAAATTCCCCGCCAATTGTGTGTAAGCAGCGAGGGCCAGGGTTTGCCCTTCATAAAAACCGCGGAAATGGCCGCAGCTACCCCTTTCCATCCGTCCTACTGTGGTCGCAAAATGTGGTTCAATGAATGCGCAGACTTAGCGATTAATATTGTGGCAGCTCCCGAACGCTGATGTTACAGATGGTATAGAGAGGGGTTTCCAAGAAGAAGTTTTGTGTAAACTAAACTTACTCTTTTGTACTTCATATTGTAAAAAACTCTAACTTCACGTAAAAATATCACAGTTAAAAAAAAGAAGATGGCTTTTGGTTGAAATCTTTACTTTCTGATGGTGACGGTTTCGCCCATCTGCAATATAAGCTACTTCAGAGTTTCTGGCAATACGTACATATACTAAGTTTCATAAAGATAACTGACTTTTTAGTCAAGTTATCGCTTGCGCAGTCGGGCGGACGGACAGACTTCCAATATTCAACTCGTCTCGTAATCCTGCTTAAGTTTATACAAGTATATATAGATATAGACACAAATATAGATATTTATGAAGATTTTCGGTTAATTTCTGTCGATTAGTTTTAAACACACCGTTATTCGAACAAAACATTTATACTCTGTGCAACATGTTGAGATGTAGAAAAATTAAACATTTGAATTTTTTGTATTATTGATTTATTTGAATATATCGAAAAACACTACGAAACCGTTTCGTAAATTCAAAAAAGGTGATATATATGGGACCGATTAACCCAACCCAAAATGATCTCAATACCCCAGGGCAAACTGTAAAAAAACGAGAATAGGGATATATTTTATGACGATTTCTTAAAAAAGTCGAATGGGATTTTTAAGGAATGTTATATTTTTAGGTTTTTACTTTAAATATTATTTTAATTACGTTCACATCGAGGCGTAGTAGAGTAAAGCGAAGCAAAATGTTGGAAACTCTCATCATTTTACGCTCTGACAACTTGATATAATATTTCTATAATTTTCTAATTGGACATACATAAATTATTGAAAAATGTATGTAAGTATGTTTAGTATACGAATCCGATAATATGAAGGTAATATTTACATAACGAAATATTAATAAATATAAGAGAGGACGAGAAACAAAACGTGCATTTTATTTATTACAAGAAGTTTATTGAAATGCCTTTGCCGTTGCAACGGAATGGTGGATCTTGTACAACCTTTTAATCACCCGCGTAAAATTTAAAAGTGTTAACTGTAAATATGAATGTTTGAAGAAACATAGAAATTTAATATAATGATACGACGTTTGAAGTATTAGATAAAATAAATATGAAATAGTAAAAAATTTTGCAAAATGATTTTTATTTTTTAATTATAATTTTAAATTTATTATTAATTCAATAATATTTGATTATTTATATCAATAAATATTATTATAATTGAATACATAACTTATGTAATTATATAACTTATTTAATGATAATTTTTTATTTATTTTAATAATAAAAATTTTTTAGCGGAATTTTGGTGGTTTTTGTTGGAATTTTAGGGGACAAATTTTTGAGAGTTGGGAACACTCAATGTGATTAAACACCTTCAGAGGACGGTCAACAATTTCCACACCAATCTTCATTTTGTTGGTATAGACACTAGTTTTAGGGACCTTATTTTGCTATTCTTGTATGGTCTGGAATTACCTAAAACCTGTTTTCATCACTTCGAGGACACTTTAGAAGATAATACTGAAATATCATGGTAAAAAAACTTAAATTCACTTGTCGCCCATAGGTCTTTGGACAGCAATAGGGTAGTATTCAGCAAAGATCAAGAGCTTCAAACCCGCATCTTGATTAAAATACAAGTCCAAAATACACAATTCTAATACAAATCCATTAGCCAACACAACCTTCTTATAGTCCATGGATTAAAAGCCCATTGAAGACAAAGGCCCACAATTATAAAATAAAATATATAAGCTACATTCGTTTTTGAAAAATATCAAATATAAACTGAATTGAACCAATATTTTTGAACCTACTCTTTGTTCACGAACAAGAAGAGAGTTTAAGATATTATAAAACATAATATGGAAGATACCAATGGGTATTATTATATGCATACCATATATGTAGCATGACGAAATGTAGACCGCCAATGAAAGAAATTTTAATGCAGAGTGCTTCTGGATTTTCCTCTTCGAAATTTCACCTACATTCTTCTCTGAAACGTCGGTGTGCTTTCTTTGTATGAGTCTCGCTATATTTGCTGTATTTTTGCCTTTCATTTTAAACTCGCAATGTATTTACTCACTTGTATAATAATTTTAAAAAAATAAAAGCTTGATTCACGCTTATTTCAAAAATATTTATAAAGATATAATAACTTTAAAAGTATTCGAACCTCCTGAGAACACAAACGCGATTATTTGAAATTACAATGGAAAATGACATCGGTTGCATTTTTCGGCACGTCGTTTATTATTTACCTTAAAAATGCTTATTAGGGATTTTAATTTTGAACCGAACAGAACCATTTTCTTGAGTCGCTTCCGGTTCGGCTTTCGCATTTTAAAATAAAAGCGGTTTGGTTCAAGGCCAGTAAAAAGAGACGGTTCGGTTCAAAACCGGTTTGCAGCTCTGATTATAACGTTTATGATCCCTTTTACTTAGCTTGTCGATTAGCATATTCTAAGATTATAAAAATTGTGTTTATTAATCAATAATACAACTTTAAAGCTTTAAAGCTATTCACCATTAAATTGGATTGTTGCGATGGTTAATACAAAATCCTTCCCTTTCCATGATAAACACCGGTGTTGGATCGAGATTATAACGAGTGCTGTCAAAAGCCCATTTTTGTACAACATTTGAGAGTGATGTTACTATGGGAAAAATAAATTTTATAATTTTTATTGTATTGTATTATTTGACTATTTTTCTGTTTTCATTTTACTCTTTTGTTTTGAAGCTTAATACGATATTTTTACATATCATACTATGTAATTTATATCTGCGGATATACCAAAGGACAAATTCAATTCAATTTGGTATATGATATTTTTACATATCATACTATGAAATTTATATCTGCGGGAATATACCAAAGGACAAATTCAATTAAATTTGGTGAAAATTTCAATCTCCCGCACTCTGATTGTAACAACAAATAAATTAAACAGGCTACGGTGGGCTGGCCATATTATTCACACTGACGAAAACTATCATCCTAAGCAAATTCTCCTAGGCAGATGCAGCAATAACAGAAGCAGAGGCAGAGAAAAACTATGATGGATTGATAGCGTGTTCCAGGACTGAAGCGCTGGAACTACGATGCAACGGGGAGTTGATGATGATGATGATATACATACGAGGTGTGTTCAAAGGAAAAGGAGAATTTTGACTTTTTTTTTGAAAAGTACTTATTTATTCATCAATATCTATTTTGTCCCAAAGTAATCCCCCTCGGATTTAATACTCCTGTGCGAACGCTTTTTCCAACCCTTAAAGCACTTCTGAAATGGGCTTTTCGGTATGGCCATCAGCTCTTTCTTCGATTCTGACTTATCTCATCAACTGTGGCAACACGTTTTCTTTTCATTGGTTTCTTCAGTTTTGGGAATAGCGAAAAGTCGCAGTGAGCCCAATCAATCGTTTGAGCAAACCCGGATCGTTGTTGACGTCATTCAACAACTCCTGAGCGATACTAATGCGACATTGCTTTTACTCAAAATTTAGCAATTTCCGAACAAACTTCGCTGACACACGTTTCATGCCCAAAACATTCGAGGAAAATGAATGAGCATGATGATATGCGAACATCCTCTGCAACTTCGCTAATAGTGATTCGGCGATTAGCAAGAAAAATTTTTTTTACTGTGTCGCTTGTTGACGTGTCTTGACGTCCAGGATGCTCATCGTCATCAACATTTTCTTGGCTTTCTATAAAGCGCTTGTACCGCTTATAAACACTTTTTTGAGACAAAGTGGACTCATCGAATGACACAGTCAATATTTTAAGTGCTTTGGAGCACTTTTTTCCATTTTTAACACAAAATTTATTACATATTCTTAGATCCATTTCATTCAAAAGCCAAAACTCGAAGAGCACATAAAAACGTGACTAACCTTTTTTGTTGTCAAAAACTACTTATCGAAATTGGCTCCTAATGCAAGTACATGATAAACATATGGTACCGATTATAACAAAAACAAAATATCCATAATCGAATGTACACAGCCCGCTAAAAATCAAAATTCACCTTTTCCGTTGAACACATCTCGTATACTTACAAACATATTGTAACGGATTTTTCGAAAAATCGTCTACCTGTAACTCACTGAATCGGTCACTGGATTGGTAATTTAAAGTCCCAATTTAATGGCTATACACTTATCTTTATTCCAACAATTTAACACTTATTGCTCGATATTCGAGCTTACAACTTATTGCTTATATCTTAATTGCTTTTTACACGGCAACACTCTAATTAGAACTGTGTCTGCTGCACAATCCGGCAGCCCTTATATAGTAAATTTTTAACAAAAGTTCGCTACTAGAACATTCTGGCAACTACGAATTCGCTGTCTAGTTGCTTCTGGCAGTTTATCGTCGATTCTGATTTCTTCTGGTATTCGTGTTCGCCACAATATATAATATATAGAATACGATATTACGGGCACTCTTGACAAGCAAAAGAGAATAGTTTAACATCAAATTACCAATAATCGAGACCTGGATGAATAGAATAACATAGTACAAAGAAGTTGGGGATGGAGTTCTTATAGAAATGACAGAAAATCCTGTATAAATTAAACAAAAGCTGTGACATTTTTATCCAATTAGATCCAACTACTTATTTTAGCGAAAATTTATCACTTAAAGTATTTCAAACATTTTTATAAATAAACTACGCTCTGAATTATAATATACAGTACTTTAAATTTTTATTTATCTGTAAATGAATACTCGTATGCTTTAAAATAAAGAAAATTAACTATTTATGTTAAATAACTCACTTTATAAAATGTGAATTTGATTTGAGTTTTACCAAAAGTACTTTGTAAAATGAGTTGTGACCGCCTGTATTCACAAAAATAGTTTGTTATATTCAGAAAGTTTTATTGTTATATTATAGTTTTCTATAGTACCTATGTGACAGAGGGACTCAATAAACAAATTCAGATCTGATTATTTAACACAAGGAAATTAATTTTTCTCCAAGAATTACCGCTTTTTTGCACTTCTACTCCGGCTTCCCGTCTAAATGTATAAAAGTGATTTATGGGAATATTTTTAATGATAACTACTAAAAATTGACGGCTACACTTTTTAAGGCTGTAACTCAAAAATATATTCAAAATTTTAGTATGTTAAAAAAACTGATTCTTCTCAATTGGGGATGTCAAATTTTACAAAAACACATGACATTCATTGTTTGTCGAGAGAAACTTCTGAAAATTTCTTGCAAGATTGAGAATGATAACATTGATCAATCACTAAGCGAAAGTTTGCCCTATCAAATTACCATATATCAAATGAAATTGATGATGCTGGTACTGAAACTTTAGTGGAATCGGCAAAAGTTATATAAACCTTTAAGAAATGTATTCAGTGGTCTGATGAAAATAATATTCCCATTGAAGAAATTTTGTTCTTATGTTAATTTTAATCCCAACATCGAGAAAAAATAATTAAAATCTAATTTTTAATTCAAACATCGGGATTAATATATTAAAAATGTTATTTTTTAATGTGAATGAAGTAATCAAACGCAAAAAGTTTTAATTTTAAAACAGTTCCTTTTGTTCATTCTTAATTATATGCTTGGGATTAAATTAAATTAAATTTTTCATTTTTATTTTTCAATCCGTCAGTTGGGACGCAAACGCAAAAAATTTTAATTTTAAAACAGTTCCTTTTGTTCATTCTTAATTATATGCGTGGAATTAAATTAAATTAAAATTATATATTAAATTAAATTTTTCATTTCTATTTTTCAATCCGTCAGTTGGGATTAAAATTTAAAAATTCCGTATATGAAATTACTACACAAAAAAAATTAATTCAAATTGTAATTAAATTATTTTTTAATGCAGTATTTGCAACCCTGCATATATAAGTAACTTATTTTTTGTTCAACTTAATTATTTATTTTTCTTCAGTTAAGTACTTGTTCAATTAACAGCCGAATTAAAATTGAAACTTATATCTAAGCTTATACTTGTAATATCACCAACTTAATATTTTTGGCGACGGCAGCGCGAGACATCAGCAGCGACGCATACTGTGAGTGCCATGCTAGTAGCTTCTTGTAGTGGGTAGCGGTAAAGGTGTCGTGATGCATTATGCCGAATTTTATACCTGCATTCATGAGCATTATTAAGCATAGCACAGTACACTGTGTAACCAATTTTTTATTTTGTAAACTTATACATACAACATTTATTCTATGTTTCCAAACACATTTTTCTATATATAATATATACTATTTAGAAGATTTGATTCGACCGATAACACGAATAAAGCAACTCCTAAAGAATAATGCAATGAAAATAAATAGGCATCATACAAATACAAGATTACAAGAGTTATAGTGATTGTGTCAACACTATATCTCGTTTTTAATTGTATCGCCACAGTTAGTCTTTTTATTCCGAGGACGGTTAGCGAGTGAGTACACCAATTTAAAGAATTCAAAAGTAATTTTTTTACTGTTGCTACTACGAAATAATAGATACTGAAATAAACCAGCAGTCTTTGAATCATTTTTCAGCTGTTTAGTAGGGTCTTTTTGTGCATTTTCAGACAAAATTTACCAAAGTAATATATATATATTTTTATATCATTAAAAAAGAGATTTCAACAAAGCTTACTGATTTAAAAAAAATTTTGACTTGTGAATTTTACTTGAAAATTAGGGTTTTTTTCGATTTTTAGTCGAAATTAGTTTTCCTTTTTAATATTTTAAATAAAACAAGTAAGGAAGGGCTAAGTTCGGATGTAACCGAACATTTTATACTCTCGAAAAGTCAAATGGTATACTCCTTTTAGATTTCTTTGTGGATCTTGCCGCCTTGTTCCATGTTGACCAAAATTTTCGGTAAAAAGTCAACTATAGGCATTGGGGTCCACATATTCAGTACCTAGGGGTTTGAACAGTTTTGATTCAATTTAGATAATTTTTGGTCACAAGGTGGCATACTTTAAACGTATTATTCACACAAAGTTTTACGCCGATATAATCATTGTTGCTTGATTTACATACTGGAAAGTGAAAAAATCAGATGGAATTTAAAATGATGTTATATGGGAAATAGGCGTGTTTGTAATCCAATTTCGAACATTTTCGTACTATAACATAGAAATTTGAACTTTGTGCCGAAACAGGTTTGAGTCATTAGGAATTATCCGTTGTAATGACCGTCTGCTAACTCGAAGTTGCAAGTCGAAACTCTCAAATTTGCCTAAATTGGCGATGCAACAGCCGCGATTGTTTCTTGAACATGAACATACGGATTTCAATGGTACGGTCTTTGGACGGAAATGACGGACTGCAAAGCATGGTACCGTTATACTATGCAAACCCTCTTTTTGGTATCCCAAGCATTCAGTTTTAAAAAACATAAATAATAACCTTTCGATTACTCGCACAGAAAAAAATGTATTACGGTTTGTTTTTGTAGTACTATTCGTGAGCCACCCTGTATGGGACACGTCAGGTTTCCTTGTGACATCAAAACATATGTACATATATTTTTTTTAAAAATACAAAAATCAACTATATTAAGAGAAATTATTGCTTAATATAGAAAATATACTTATGATTTAATGAATGTTTGCCTTCTAGAAGGTCTCTTTTAAGTCTCCAACAATAATCTGCTGGTATTCCGATCATTCAGTTTGTACTGTAGATGTAAACATTTACATGTATATTTTATACGGGCTCCG